TTCCCGCGGGCGATGTTTTCTGGTTGTAATATCTTTGCTTCCACGATCGTTCAGTGAATCTTATACTTGACCCTTCATCATCTTTCACAGTTTCTTGATAGATTATATTGAAAGTATTGTATTCAACGCCAATGGGATATTTATGTTCCAGTCTACAGTTACGTAAGGTAGTTTCATCTTTTGCTCATATTCAATATATTGCCATTCTCTGTTTCAATAATACACAGCATAAATTTTAATGCTCACAGAGATGACGTGGATGGTTTTAATCATTTCTCTCCAAGCAAGGCAATAAAGCCACTAAGATGTAAGGAGTTAGTTTGAAAGAATACGAGAAAAAGAAAAAAAAACATTATTAAGGAGAGAGGACGATAAAAGAACGGTAATTCAGAAAACAAAATATAACGATTTCCATGGCATTTACATTTTTTATGATCAAAGTTGAGTTGGAAGCAAGAAGTCGGAAGAGAGTTCCACACGCGAGAAGTGCGAAAGAACTGTTACATTAAAACTTACGACTACATTTAAACATTTCAAATGTAATATGAGGGGACTAAGCTGCCAATCTACTACTGTTCATGAAGAACTTAAAATTGATCACCGTATTTAAGTATTGCATTAATATTTAAGTTTATCTTTAAAGAGTTCAACAATAATTCTTATGTCACTACTTAATGTAAACACATTTTGATATAAGTCCTTACTTTCCCTACAAACCATTATTTTTCTTTTGTGGGTGACTTTCGCTAGATTGTACAATTAATTTCGATTATTCCTTAATTTATTTTCCAAGTTATAAAAATTATCGTAAAAACATTTCGTCGCAAAAAATCACGTAAAAAATCGTCGGGAACAGTCGCAGTCATGAATAATTAGAAATCCAAAATATCAGGATTGTAAGTCCAGATCCGGTCCGCATGTTTTTAATTTGCTTCCAAAACGGTATGATATATTGGTCTCAGGCCTCTAAGAGTAAAGTTGAAAACACCGATAATTTTATTTTGAAAAACTGTTATTTGAGAATAGTCTTTTTTTTCATCCGGAACATGAGCTATTGAAAGTTAGAGTTGTTCCCCTATAATTGTTTTTATCAGTAGAAACCAAGATGGCGGTATCCGAAAATAATTACAGTAATGAAAACTTGGGAATTCAAAATTTCGGGGTTGCAGATCCGGAACCATCCCGGAATGTTTTAAATTGCTCACAGAATCGGCCTGATTCCAAAATGGTTTGATATGTTGGGCTACTGCTTCTAGGAGCAAAGTTTTAAAATGAGACACAATGGCACACTGACATTCGCATTTATTTTATAGATTGTAATTTCTTTTATATGGGATGGAATGTTTATTTATATGTGTGTCATTATACTTGCGTGAATCATAGATGTGTGTATACATATCTAGTACCCTACGAAAGTATTGGAACGGCAAAGCCAAATCCTTTGTTTTTGTTGTTCACTGAGAACATTTGTGATTAAGGCCAAAAGAGGAATATGAGACATTAGTTCAGAATTTCAGCTGTTATTAACTGTTATTTAAATTTAAATGTGTTAAACAACTTAGGACATACCACCTTTTGTTTGTACTCTCAAAGTAAGCAAAACTATTGGAACACGTATCTGACAGATGTTTCCTGTTGCCGAAGTGATGCCTTTTACATTGATTGCTTAAACATTAAATAGCTCCGAATGATTACTCTTGGTTTTAGTCTTGGTGTACAACTGTAAATAAAGCATTCCTTGTTAAATAGTATAAACCAGTATGAAGAGGAGAGGGCTTGTCTATGGAAGAAAATCAAGCCATTTTGAAGCTGAGAAAAGAAAAAAATCGACCAGAGCCATTGGACAAACATTGGGCATAGTCATCACAACAATTTGGCATGAAAGAAAGAAAATACTGTGTACTGAACTACAGACATAGAACAGGTTGGCTAAGGAAAACAACAGCAGATGATGATAGAAACATTTAGAGAGCTGTGAAGAAAACACGCCAAAAGAACAGTCAGTGACATCAGCAACAACCACTAGAGTGCAGGGCTGAAGGTTTCACAATGCACCGTTCGAAGAATTCTTCGAGGACAGAAATATAGAAACCATAACACAAGATGCAATTCACTTATCAGCAGCAAGAACCAGAAGACCAGATTAGAATTAGAAGTACAGACATGAGCGACAAAAGTTCTGGAAGAAAGTTTCATGGACTAATGAGACCAAGATTAATTTCTACCGAAGTGATGGAATGGCCAAAGTTTGGAGAAAGAAATCATCTGCTTATGATCCAAAGCATACAAATCCAGAGTCAGTGTCATGGCTTGGGCTTCCATGACTGCTTCTGGAACAGGCTTATTCATATTTATTAATGATGCAATTCATGATGCAAGCAGCAGAATGAATTCAAATGACTACAGAAACATTTTGTCTGCCAATTTACAGAGAAATGCATTCAATCTAATCGGGTGGAAGTTTATGATGCAACAGACCAATAACGTAAAACATATTGCCAACAAAACTAAGGATTCAACAGGGGAAAAAAGTGGACAGTTCAATCACCGGACCATAATCCAATAGAACATGTATTTCATCTCGTGAATAGGAGACTGATGGAAAAAAAAAACACGAAACAAATAAGATATGAAAGTTTGGTGACGTCAATGAGGAAAGGTTAAAAGCTGAACGGGATTTAGAAAGATAGAAGATGGCGATTGACGTTGCATTTAATTTTTTGAATATTGTAGTTATCAGGGAAGCAAATGAATGGAAGGATGTACGACAAACGCGAAGAGTGAGAGCAGAAATTGTTGGAGTAGAAGTGTTGGTTACATTTAACTAGTTCAACAGTAAAAGGGTGGAACCAAGATGCCAATATTGTAGAACTCTTACATTCTCGTATTCGGGACACTAGAGAAAACGGATCATCAGAGATATATAAATATCTCTTATATACGTGTTCTTGTTTAGGTGTTTATGTGCATATATATATATATATATATATATATATATATATATATATATATATATATATATATATATATATATATATATATAATAAAAAGAAAGAAAAAAGTAAGATATAAAATCCGGTGTTCTTATAGATATTTTATTTTTACAAAATAGTGCTCAATGTAAATTTACAGAGCATTAATATTATAAATTATTTGATTTAAAATATGGTTATTTTCGCTACACAGTTCCAACCATGTTTCAAAAATAGAAGCTAAAAACCCCTAATTTTATTTTTGCAATTAAATTAAAAGCATTAGTTCCATTTCATCTTCAAGCGAATTTCCTTCGCTTGAAGATGAAATGGAACTAATGCTTTTAAGCTTCTATTTTAGAATAGAATTTTTAGCTTCTATTTTTGATACATATATATATATATATATATATATATATATATATGTGTGTGTGTGTGTGTCTGTATGTGTGTGTGTGTAATAGATAGATAGATAGATAGATAGATAGATAGATAGATAGATAGATAGATAGATATATGTTTGGCACATGAGAGACGAGTTTCAGCTATAACAGTTCAAAGAGCAGTGTAAAAGAACTTGAAATTGAAATCGTACGTGAAATCTGTGAGGCACTTGTTACTCCAGGACAGAAAGTTAGAAGGTTAGGGGGGGGGACGATCATATTGAATAAGTTCTAAAATGATCCTAGAATATATATATATATATATATATATATATATAAACATTATTTTAATTCCACATGTGCTTCAGATTCTTAGCGATGTTTAATTAATGACGAACATGTCATATTCATTTATGATCGATTTCATCAGGATTCTTTTGTTAAGGCTTGAGGGTAAGTATACATTACTATTGCTCAGAGTAGAGTCCAGTAGGATTATAAAAACCTCGGAGAATTCTGTAAGATATTTTTAGTCATTACGTAATTGATACAAATTAATCAAATAAATGGACAATTTTGATTTTACACTATTTTCAAGATTTTGTTGTTATACCTGCTATATATATATATATATATATATATATATATAAATAAATAAATAAATATAAATATATATATATATATATATATATATATATATATATGTGTGTGTGTGTGTGTGTGTGTGCGTGCTCGTGCGAGTCTGTGTGTATTGGAATTTCCACGGCCTGACCAAGAACGATTTTTTAAAATCAGATGCTTCCCCGTCGTGTCAGACTTTGAAAATTGTTCGGACCGAGAACTTCCCAGCACGTGCATATATATATATATATATATATATATATATATATATATATATATATATATATATATATGCGTGGATGTATTTTCGGAGTCATAGAGTTAAACATATATGACATACATTTCATTGTTTTTCTTCTGACAGCACACCTCGTGGCGTTAATTCCATATATGGCATTTCTTCTACATCTCTCCAACAGATTTCGTGACTTCCATTTCGAGATGTTTTTTTATTTCTTATTTTTTTTTCTTTTTGCTTTTTCGTAATAGTGTATTTTCATATTCAGGCCTTGAAATCTCTTTTTAGTATTCGAAATGCTTGCAGTTGCATCAGTATCGATATTATTATTATTATTATTATTATTATTATTATTATTAATATTATTATTATTTCTACGTTTCAATATTTTTCTGTTCTTTTTCCTAATATAATCACGCACGTTATCATTAAAATTATTTACATTAGTTCATTTTTTTTTCAGAATTCTTTACATTTTATTGGCATGCCGTGAGGCTAAAGTAATCATTATTCTCGCGTAGTGAGTTCTATCCAAACTAGGTGACGCATACTGGCAACCTCATGGCAGCTGATTATAAGCTAATTAAATATAGATATCAAAGTAGATCAAGTTAAAGTAGTTAAAGTTTTAAAGAAACTTTATGCAGTAATGTAGTAATGACGTTATTATTATTATTACCTTTGTGTATGTTATGTTTTCTGTATTGTATCTTGTAGAGCCGGGTCCAAACTATGGCCCTTAGGTCCTCTAGGAGAATCGTCATTTAATTGATAGCACTTTTCTTA